TACAGGATTTGTCTGCTACACCATTGCACTGATCACAAGGAAACCCTGAAGTCAGGGTTTGTCTGCTACACCATTGCACTGAGAACAAGCAAACCCTAAAATCAAAGTGCTTTGGAGAAGGCCTTACATTCCTTCACAGATTACCATTTACTTATGTTATAAGACAAAGGAGCACAAGCCAGATTCTTGGATATCTTTTAGTAGGGACATGAAGCAGACAGGTCTCCTAAATAATGGGTTTGTCTGCTACACCATCGCACTGACCACACGGAAACCCTGAAGGTAGGGCTTGTCTGCTACACCATTGCACTGACCACAAGGAAACCCTGAAGTCAAAATGGTTTTGAGTGGACCTTACTTTCAAGAATTGCTTATTATTCATGCTATAGAGGAACAGCCATTTGGCTACGTTTGTTTCATGAGGTACAAAGCAAGCAGTACATAGCAGAGGATGGTTTCGATCCATCGACTTCTGGGTTATGGGCCCAGCACGCTTCCGCTGCGCCACTCTGCTCTGCAGCCAGACTTGTTGAGCCTAGAATTCAAAATCTTTTGATTCGGCTGTAAGTAACATCCTTTAGAAAACTGGGAATCGGGATTCAAACTCAAATGCCTAGCATCAATAGTAGTAATATTCATCTTGAGTGTAAAACAACAGATTCTTGGTTATCTTTTAGTTGGGACATGAAGCAGACAGGTCTCCTAAATACAGGATTTGTCTGCTACACCATTGCACTGATCACAAGGAAACCCTGAAGTCAGGGTTTGTCTGCTACACCATTGCACTGAGAACAAACAAACCCTAAAATCAAAGTGCTTTGGAGAAGGCCTTACATTCCTTCACAGATTACCATTTACTTATGTTAAACACTACAGGTCTCCTAAATAATGGATTTGTCTGCTACACTGACCACAAGGAAACCTTGACATCAAAATGTTTTTAAGTGGACCTTACACTCAAGAATTGCTGATAATTCATGCTATAGAGCAACAGCCATTTGGCTAAGTTTTTACTTTGAAGTATAAAGCAAGCAGTACATAGCAGAGAATGGTTTCGATCCATCGACTTCTGGGTTATGGGCCCAGCGCGCTTCCGCTGCGCCACTCTGCTCTGCAGCCAGACTTGTTGAGCCTGGAATTCAAAATCTTTGGATTCGGCTGTAAGGAACATATTCTTTAGACCACTGGGAATCGGGATTCAATCTCAAACGTCTAGAATCAATAGTGCTTATATTCATCTTCAGCATAAAACAACAGATTCTTGGTTATCTTTCAGTTGGGGCATGAAGCAGACAGGTCTCCTAAATAAAGGATTTGTCTGCTACACCATTGCACTGAGAACAAACAAACCCTAAGATCAAAATGCTTTGGAGAAGGCCTTACATTCAATTCAATTCAATTCAATTTTATTTGTATAGCGCTTTTTACAATAGTCATTGTCTCAAAGCAGCTTTACAGAAATAAAAAACAGGTATGAACAGTCAGAAACATCTAAAGAGAGACAAACAGGAACAGATAAACAGAGACAAACAGGTAGAAAACAAATGGAATTTATCCCAACTGAGCAAGCCACTGAGTGGCGACGGTGGCAAGGAAAAACTCCCTAAGATGTTTTTTGAGGAAGAAACCTTGAGAGGAACCCGACTCAGAAGGGAAACCCATCCTCATCTGGGTAACACATATTGTGAATGTAACACAGATAATGTGAAAACATTCCTTCAGAGATTACATTTTACTTATGTCATAATACAAAGGTGCACTGGCCATCTTCAGGTTTGAAGGACAATGCAGGCTGTAAATAGCAGAGGATGGTTTCGATCCATCGACTTCTGGGTTATGGGCCCAGCACACTTCCGCTGCGCCACTCTGCTCTGCAGCCAGACCTGTTGAGCCTAGAATCGAAAATCTTTTGATTCGGCTGTAAGTAACATCCTTTAGACCACTGGGAATCGGGATTCAAACTCAAATGCCTAGCATCAATAGTACTAATATTCATCATTAATGTAAAACAACAGATTCTTGGTTATCTTTTATTTGGGACATGAAGCAGACAGGTCTTCTAAATACAGGATTTGTCTGCTATACCATTGCACTGATCACAAGGATACCCTGAAGTCAGGGTTTCTCTGCTACACCATTGCACTGAGAACAAGCAAACCCTAAAATCAAAGTGCTTTGGAGAAGGCCTTACATTCCTTCACAGATTACCATTTACTTATGTTAAACACTACAGGTCTCCTAAATAATGGATTTGTCTGCTACACTGACCACAAGGAAACCTTGACATCAAAATGTTTTTGAGTGGACCTTACACTCAAGAATTGCTGATTATTCATACTTTAGAGCAACAGCCATTTGGCTACGTTTTTACTTTGAAATATAAAGCAAGCAGTACATAGCAGAGAATGGTCTCGATCCATCGACTTCTGTGGTATGGGCCCAGCACGCTTCCACTGCACCACTCTGCTCTGCAGCCACACTTGTTGAGCCTGGAATTCAAAATCTTTGGATTCGTCTGAAAGTAACATCCTTTAGAAAACTGGGAATCGGGATTCAAACTCAAATGCCTAGCATCAATAGTACTAATATTCATCTTGAGTGTAAAACAACAGATTCTTGGTTATCTTTTAGTTGGGACATGAAGCAGACAGGTCTCCTAAATACAGGATTTGTCTGCTACACCATTGCACTGATCACAAGGATACCCTGAAGTCAGGGTTTCTCTGCTACACCATTGCACTGAGAACAAGCAAACCCTAAAATCAAAGTGCTTTGGAGAAGGCCTTACATTCCTTCACAGATTACCATTTACTTATGTTAAACACTACAGGTCTCCTAAATAATGGATTTGTCTGCTACACTGACCACAAGGAACTGTAAATTTTTTGGTGGCCTTACACTCAGGATCTCTTGGCAACGCCATTTGCTCGTTTTATTGTTAAAGCAAGCGTATAGCAGAGAATGGTCTCGATCCATCGACTTCTGTGGGCCCAGCCTCCTGCCCACTCTGCGCAGCCCTTGTTTACTATATTTTTATTTTAAACATTGTTTAAGCAGACAGGTCTCCTAAATACAGGATTTGTCTGCTACACCATTGCACTGTCACAAGAACCTGACAGGGTTGGTCTGCTAACCATTGCACGGAGAACAAGCAAACCCTAAAATCAAAGTGCTTGGAGGCCTTACATCCTCACAGAACCATTTACTATATTATAACACAAAAGAGCACAAGCCATGTTCAGGTTTGAAAGACAATGCAGGCTGTAAATAGCAGAGGATAGGATACATCGACTTCTGGGTTATGGGCCCAGCACGCTTCTGCCCGGCCCCTCTGCTCTGGAGCAGACTTGTTGAGCCTGGAATTCAAAATCTTTGGATTCGGCTGCAAGGAACATATCCTTTAGACCGCTGGGAATCGGGATTCAAACTCAAATTCCTAGCATCAATAGTACTTATATTCATCTTCAGTGTAAAACAACAGATTCTTGGTTATCTTTTAGTTGGGACATGAAGCAGGCCGGTCTCCTAAATAATGGATTTGTCTGCTACACCATTGCACTGACCACAAGGAAACCCTGAAGTCAAAATGGTTTTGAGTGGACCTTACACTCAAGAATTGCTTATTATTCATGCTATAGAGCAACAGCCATTTGGCTACGTTTGTTTTATGAGGTACAAAGCAAGCAGTTCATAGCAGAGGATGGTTTCGTTCATCGACTTCTGGGTTATGGGCCCAGCCGCGCTTCCGCTGCGCCACTCTGCTCTGCAGCCAGACTTGTTGAGCCTAGAATTCAAAATCTTTTGATTCGGCTGTAAGTAACATATCCTTTAGACCACTGGGAATCGGGATTCAAACTCAAATGACTAGCATCAATAGTACTTATTTTCATCTTCAGTGTAAAACAACAGATTCTTGGTTATCTTTTAGTTGGGACATGAAGCAGACAGGTCTCCTTAATACAGGATTTGTCTGCTACACCATTGCACTGATCACAAGGAAACCCTGAAGTCAGGGTTTGTCTGCTACACCATTGCACTGAGAACAAGCAAACCCTAAAATCAAAGTGCTTTGGAGAAGGCCTTACATTCCTTCACAGATTACCATTTACTTATGTTATAAGACAAAGGAGCACAAGCCAGATTCTTGGATATCTTTTAGTAGGGACATGAAGCAGACAGGTCTCCTAAATAATGGGTTTGTCTGCTACACCATCGCACTGACCACACGGAAACCCTGAAGGTAGGGCTTGTCTGCTACACCATTGCACTGACCACAAGGAAACCCTGAAGTCAAAATGGTTTTGAGTGGACCTTACTTTCAAGAATTGCTTATTATTCATGCTATAGAGCAACAGCCATTTGGCTACGTTTGTTTTATGAGGTACAAAGCAAGCAGTACATAGCAGAGGATGGTTTCGATCCATCGACTTCTGGGTTATGGGCCCAGCACGCTTCCGCTGCGCCACTCTGCTCTGCAGCCAGACTTGTTGAGCCTAGAATTCAAAATCTTTTGATTCGGCTGTAAGTAACATCCTTTAGAAAACTGGGAATCGGGATTCAAACTCAAATGCCTAGCATCAATAGTAGTAATATTCATCTTGAGTGTAAAACAACAGATTCTTGGTTATCTTTTAGTTGGGACATGAAGCAGACAGGTCTCCTAAATACAGGATTTGTCTGCTACACCATTGCACTGATCACAAGGAAACCCTGAAGTCAGGGTTTGTCTGCTACACCATTGCACTGAGAACAAACAAACCCTAAAATCAAAGTGCTTTGGAGAAGGCCTTACATTCCTTCACAGATTACCATTTACTTATGTTAAACACTACAGGTCTCCTAAATAATGGATTTGTCTGCTACACTGACCACAAGGAAACCTTGACATCAAAAAATGTGTTTTAAGTGGACCTTACACTCAAGAATTGCTGATAATTCATGCTATAGAGCAACAGCCATTTGGCTAAGTTTTTACTTTGAAGTATAAAGCAAGCAGTACATAGCAGAGAATGGTTTCGATCCATCGACTTCTGGGTTATGGGCCCGGCCGGCGCTTCCGCTGCGCCACTCTGCTCTGCAGCCAGACTTGTTGAGCCTGGCAATTCAAAATCTTTGGATTCGGCTGTAAGGAACATATTCTTTAGACCACGGGGAATCGGGTTTCAATCTCAAACGTCTAGAATCAATAGTGCTTATATTCATCTTCAGCATAAAACAACAGATTCTTGGTTATCTTTCGGTTGGGGCATGAAGCAGACAGGTCTCCTAAATAAAGGATTTGTCTGCTACACCATTGCACTGAAAAGAACAAGCAAACCCTAAAGATCAAAATGCTTTGGAGAAGGCCTTACATTCAATTCACAATTAATTCAATTTTATTTGTATAGCGCTTTTTACAATAGTCATTGTCTCAAAGCAGCTTTACAGAAATAAAAAACAGGTATGAACAGTGAAACATTAAAGACAGACATAAACAGAGACAAACAGGTAGAAACAAATGTTTCCCACTAGGCAAGCCACTGAGTGGCGACGGTAGCAGGAAAAACTCCTAAGATGTTTTTGAGGAAGAACACCTGAGAGGAACCCGACTCAGAAGGAAACCCATCCTCATCTGGGTAACACATATTGTGAATGTAACACAGAGTAATGTGAAAACATTCCTTCAGAGATTACATTTTACTTATGTCATAATACAAAGGTGCACTGGCCATGTTTAGGTTTGAAGGACAATGCAAGCTGTAAATAGCAGAGGATGGTTTTAATCCATCGACTTCTGGGTTATGGGCCCGCCACACTTCCGCTGCCCACTCTGCTCTGCAGCCAGACCTGTTGAGCCTAAAATCGAAAATCTTTTGATTCGGCTGTAAGTAACATCCTTTAGACCACTGGGAATCGGGATTCAAACTCAAATGCCTAGCATCAATAGTACTAATATTTATCTTAATGTAAAACAACAGATTCTTGGTTATCTTTTATTTGGGACATGAAGCAGACAGGTCTTCTAAATACAGGATTTGTCTGCTATACCATTGCACTGATCACAAGATACCCTGAAGTCAGGGTTTCTCTGCTACACCATTGCACTGAGAACAAGCAAACCCTAAAATCAAAGTGCTTTGGAGAAGGCCTTACATTCCTTCACAGATTACCATTTACTTATGTTATAACACTAATTAAAAACAGGTCTCCTAAATAATGGATTTGTCTGCTACACTGACCACAAGGAAACCTTGACATCAAAATGTTTTTGAGTGGACCTTACACTCAAGTATTGCTGATTATTCATGCTTTAGAGCAACAGCCATTTGGCTACGTTTTTACTTTGAAGTATAAAGCAAGCAGTACATAGCAGAGAATGGTCTCGATCCATCGACTTCTGTGGTATGGGCCCAGCACGCTTCCGCTGCACCACTCTGCTCTGCAGCCACACTTGTTGAGCCGGAATTCAAAATCTTTGGATTCGTCGAAAGTAACATCCTTTAGAACACTGGGAATCGGGATTCAAACTCAAATGCCTAGCATCAATAGTACTAATATTCATCTTCAGTGTAAAACAACAGATTCTTGGTTATCTTTTAGTTGGGACATGAAGCAGACAGGTCTCCTAAATACAGGATTTGTCTGCTACACCATTGCACTCGTCCACAAGGATACCCTGAAGTCAGGGTTTCTCTGCTACACCATTGCACTGAGAACAAGCAAACCCTAAAATCAAAGTGCTTTGGAGAGAGGCCTTACATTCCTTCACAGATTACCATTTACTTATGTTAAACACTACAGGTCTCCTAAATAATGGATTTGTCTGCTACACTGACCACAAGGAAACCTTGAAATCAAAATGTTTTTGAGTGGACCTTACACTCAAGAATTGCTGATTATTCATACTTTAGAGCAACAGCCATTTGGCTACGTTTTTACTTTGAAGTATAAAGCAAGCAGTACATAGCAGAGAGAATGGTCTCGATCCATCGACTTCTGTGGTATGGGCCCAGCACGCTTCCACTGCGCCACTCTGCTCTGCAGCCACACTTGTTGAGCCTGGAATTCAAAATCTTTGGATTCGCTGTAAGTAACATCCTTTAGAACACTGGGAATCGGGATTCAAACTCAAATGCCTAGCATCAATAGTACTAATATTCATCTTGAGTGTAAAACAACAGATTCTTGGTTATCTTTTAGTTGGGACATGAAGCAGACAGGTCTCCTAAATACAGGATTTGTCTGCTACACCATTGCACTGATCACAAGGAAACCCGCAAGTCAGGGTTGGTCTGCTAAACCATTGCACGCAGAACAAGCAAACCCTAAAATCAAAATGCTTTGGAGAAGGCCTTACATTCCTTCACAGATTACCATTTACTAATGTTATAACACAAAAGAGCACAAGCCATGTTCAGGTTTGAAAGACAATGCAGGCTGTAAATAGCAGAGGATGGTTTCGATACATCGGACTTCTGGGTTATGGGCCCAGCACGCTTCTGCTGCGCGCCCTCTGCTCTGCGCGCGAGACTTGTTGAGCCTGGAATTCAAAATCTTTGGATTCGGCTGTAAGGAACATATCCTTTGGCCCGCGGGGAATCGGATTCAAACTCAAATTCCTAGCATCAATAGTACTTATATTCATCTTCAGTGTAAAACAACAGATTCTTGGTTATCTTTTGTTGGGACATGAAGCAGGCCGGTCTCTAAATAATGGATTTGTCTGCTACACCATTGCACTGACCACAAGGAAACCCTGAAGTCAAAATGGTTTTGAGTGGACCTTACACTCAAGAATTGCTTATTATTCATGCTATAGAGCAACAGCCATTTGGCTACGTTTGTTTTATGAGGTACAAAGCAAGCAGTACATAGCAGAGGATGGTTTCGATCCATCGACTTCTGGGTTATGGGCCCAGCACGCTTCCGCTGCGCCACTCTGCTCTGCAGCCAGACTTGTTGAGCCTAGAATTCAAAATCTTTTGATTCGGCTGTAAGTAACATATCCTTTAGACCACTGGGAATCGGTATTCAAACTCAAATGACTAGCATCAATAGTACTTATTTTCATCTTCAGTGTAAAACAACAGATTCTTGGTTATCTTTTAGTTGGGACATGAAGCAGACAGGTCTCCTTAATACAGGATTTGTCTGCTACACCATTGCACTGATCACAAGGAAACCCTGAAGTCAGGGTTTGTCTGCTACACCATTGCACTGAGAACAAGCAAACCCTAAAATCAAAGTGCTTTGGAGAAGGCCTTACATTCCTTCACAGATTACCATTTACTTATGTTATAAGACAAAGGAGCACAAGCCAGATTCTTGGATATCTTTTAGTAGGGACATGAAGCAGACAGGTCTCCTAAATAATGGGTTTGTCTGCTACACCATCGCACTGACCACACGGAAACCCTGAAGTCAAAATGGTTTTGAGTGGACCTTACTTTCAAGAATTGCTTATTATTCATGCTATAGAGGAACAGCCATTTGGCTACGTTTGTTTCATGAGGTACAAAGCAAGCAGTACATAGCAGAGGATGGTTTCGATCCATCGACTTCTGGGTTATGGGCCCAGCACGCTTCCGCTGCGCCACTCTGCTCTGCAGCCAGACTTGTTGAGCCTAGAATTCAAAATCTTTTGATTCGGCTGTAAGTAACATCCTTTAGAAAACTGGGAATCGGGATTCAAACTCAAATGCCTAGCATCAATAGTAGTAATATTCATCTTGAGTGTAAAACAACAGATTCTTGGTTATCTTTTAGTTGGGACATGAAGCAGACAGGTCTCCTAAATACAGGATTTGTCTGCTACACCATTGCACTGATCACAAGGAAACCCTGAAGTCAGGGTTTGTCTGCTACACCATTGCACTGAGAACAAACAAACCCTAAAATCAAAGTGCTTTGGAGAAGGCCTTACATTCCTTCACAGATTACCATTTACTTATGTTAAACACTACAGGTCTCCTAAATAATGGATTTGTCTGCTACACTGACCACAAGGAAACCTTGACATCAAAATGTTTTTAAGTGGACCTTACACTCAAGAATTGCTGATAATTCATGCTATAGAGCAACAGCCATTTGGCTAAGTTTTTACTTTGAAGTATAAAGCAAGCAGTACATAGCAGAGAATGGTTTCGATCCATCGACTTCTGGGTTATGGGCCCAGCGCGCTTCCGCTGCGCCACTCTGCTCTGCAGCCAGACTTGTTGAGCCTGGAATTCAAAATCTTTGGATTCGGCTGTAAGGAACATATTCTTTAGACCACTGGGAATCCGGATTCAATCTCAAACGTCTAGAATCAATAGTGCTTATATTCATCTTCAGCATAAAACAACAGATTCTTGGTTATCTTTCAGTTGGGGCATGAAGCAGACAGGTCTCCTAAATAAAGGATTTGTCTGCTACACCATTGCACTGAGAACAAACAAACCCTAAGATCAAAATGCTTTGGAGAAGGCCTTACATTCAATTCAATTCAATTCAATTTTATTTGTATAGCGCTTTTTACAATAGTCATTGTCTCAAAGCAGCTTTACAGAAATAAAAAACAGGTATGAACAGTCAGAAACATCTAAAGAGAGACAAACAGGAACAGATAAACAGAGACAAACAGGTAGAAAACAAATGGAATTTATCCCAACTGAGCAAGCCACTGAGTGGCGACGGTGGCAAGGAAAAACTCCCTAAGATGTTTTTTGAGGAAGAAACCTTGAGAGGAACCCGACTCAGAAGGGAAACCCATCCTCATCTGGGTAACACATATTGTGAATGTAACACAGATAATGTGAAAACATTCCTTCAGAGATTACATTTTACTTATGTCATAATACAAAGGTGCACTGGCCATGTTCAGGTTTGAAGGACAATGCAGGCTGTAAATAGCAGAGGATGGTTTCAATCCATCGACTTCTGGGTTATGGGCCCGCCACACTTCCGCTGCGCCACTCTGCTCTGCAGCCAGACCTGTTGAGCCTAGAATCGAAAATCTTTTGATTCGGCTGTAAGTAACATCCTTTAGACCACTGGGAATCGGGATTCAAACTCAAATGCCTAGCATCAATAGTACTAATATTCATCATTAATGTAAAACAACAGATTCTTGGTTATCTTTTATTTGGGACATGAAGCAGACAGGTCTTCTAAATACAGGATTTGTCTGCTATACCATTGCACTGATCACAAGGATACCCTGAAGTCAGGGTTTCTCTGCTACACCATTGCACTGAGAACAAGCAAACCCTAAAATCAAAGTGCTTTGGAGAAGGCCTTACATTCCTTCACAGATTACCATTTACTTATGTTAAACACTACAGGTCTCCTAAATAATGGATTTGTCTGCTACACTGACCACAAGGAAACCTTGACATCAAAATGTTTTTGAGTGGAACTTACACTCAAGAATTGCTGATTATTCATACTTTAGAGCAACAGCCATTTGGCTACGTTTTTACTTTGAAATATAAAGCAAGCAGTACATAGCAGAGAATGGTCTCGATCCATCGACTTCTTTGGTATGGGCCCAGCACGCGTCCACTGCACCACTCTGCTCTGCAGCCACACTTGTTGAGCCTGGAATTCAAAATCTTTGGACTACGTTAACTAACATCCTTTAGAAAACTGGGAATCGGGATTCAAACTCAAATGCCTAGCATCAATAGTACTAATATTCATCTTGAGTGTAAAACAACAGATTCTTGGTTATCTTTTAGTTGGGACATGAAGCAGACAGGTCTCCTAAATACAGGATTTGTCTGCTACACCATTGCACTGATCACAAGGATACCCTGAAGTCAGGGTTTCTCTGCTACACCATTGCACTGAGAACAAGCAAACCCTAAAATCAAAGTGCTTTGGAGAAGGCCTTACATTCCTTCACAGATTACCATTTACTTATGTTAAACACTACAGGTCTCCTAAATAATGGATTTGTCTGCTACACTGACCACAAGGAAACCTTGACATCAAAATGTTTTTGAGTGGACCTTACACTCAAGTTATTGCTGATTATTCATACTTTAGAGCAACAGCCATTTGGCTACGTTTTTACTTTGAAATATAAAGCAAGCAGTACATAGCAGAGAATGGTCTCGATCCATCGACTTCTGTGGTATGGGCCCAGCACGCTTCCACTGCACCACTCTGCTCTGCAGCCACACTTGTTGAGCCTGGAATTCAAAATCTTTGGATTCGTCTGTAAGTAACATCCTTTAGAAAACTGGGAATCGGGATTCAAACTCAAATGCCTAGCATCAATAGTACTAATATTCATCTTGAGTGTAAAACAACAGATTCTTGGTTATCTTTTAGTTGGGACATGAAGCAGACAGGTCTCCTAAATACAGGATTTGTCTGCTACACCATTGCACTGATCACAAGGAAACCCTGAAGTCAGGGTTGGTCTGCTAAACCATTGCACGGAGAACAAGCAAACCCTAAAATCAAAGTGCTTTGGAGAAGGCCTTACATTCCTTCACAGATTACCATTTACTAATGTTATAACACAAAAGAGCACAAGCCATGTTCAGGTTTGAAAGACAATGCAGGCTGTAAATAGCAGAGGATAGCTTCGATACATCGACTTCTGGGTTATGGGCCCAGCACGCTTCTGCTGCGCCCCTCTGCTCTGCGGCCAGACTTGTTGAGCCTGGAATTCAAAATCTTTGGATTCGGCTGTAAGGAACATATCCTTTAGACCGCGGGGAATCGGGATTCAAACTCAAATTCCTAGCATCAATAGTACTTATATTCATCTTCAGTGTAAAACAACAGATTCTTGGTTATCTTTTAGTTGGGACATGAAGCAGGCCGGTCTCCTAAATAATGGATTTGTCTGCTACACCATTGCACTGACCACAAGGAAACCCTGAAGTCAAAATGGTTTTGAGTGGACCTTACACTCAAGAATTGCTTATTATTCATGCTATAGAGCAACAGCCATTTGGCTACGTTTGTTTTATGAGGTACAAAGCAAGCAGTTCATAGCAGAGGATGGTTTCGATCCATCGACTTCTGGGTTATGGGCCCAGCACGCTTCCGCTGCGCCACTCTGCTCTGCAGCCAGACTTGTTGAGCCTAGAATTCAAAATCTTTTGATTCGGCTGTAAGTAACATATCCTTTAGACCACTGGGAATCGGGATTCAAACTCAAATGACTAGCATCAATAGTACTTATTTTCATCTTCAGTGTAAAACAACAGATTCTTGGTTATCTTTTAGTTGGGACATGAAGCAGACAGGTCTCCTTAATACAGGATTTGTCTGCTACACCATTGCACTGATCACAAGGAAACCCTGAAGTCAGGGTTTGTCTGCTACACCATTGCACTGAGAACAAGCAAACCCTAAAATCAAAGTGCTTTGGAGAAGGCCTTACATTCCTTCACAGATTACCATTTACTTATGTTATAAGACAAAGGAGCACAAGCCAGATTCTTGGATATCTTTTAGTAGGGACATGAAGCAGACAGGTCTCCTAAATAATGGGTTTGTCTGCTACACCATCGCACTGACCACACGGAAACCCTGAAGGTAGGGCTTGTCTGCTACACCATTGCACTGACCACAAGGAAACCCTGAAGTCAAAATGGTTTTGAGTGGACCTTACTTTCAAGAATTGCTTATTATTCATGCTATAGAGCAACAGCCATTTGGCTACGTTTGTTTTATGAGGTACAAAGCAAGCAGTACATAGCAGAGGATGGTTTCGATCCATCGTCTTCTAGGTTATGGGCCCGCCGCGTCCGCTGCGCCACTCTGCTCTGCAGCCAGACTTGTTGAGCCTAGAATTCAAAATCTTTTGGATTCGGCTGTAAGTAACATCCTTTAGAAAACTGGGAATCGGGTTCAAACTCAAATGCCTAGCATCAATAGTAGTAATATTCATCTTGAGTGTAAAACAACAGATTCTTGGTTATCTTTTAGTTGGGACATGAAGCAGACAGGTCTCCTAAATACAGGATTTGTCTGCTACACCATTGCACTGATCACAAGGAAACCCTGAAGTCAGGGTTTGTCTGCTACACCATTGCACTGAGAACAAACAAACCCTAAAATCAAAGTGCTTGGAGAAGGCCTTACATTCCTTCACAGATTACCATTTACTTATGTTTAAACACTAGTTTTTAGGATATATCCAGGTCTCCTAAATAATGGATTTGTCTGCTACACTGACCACAAGGAAAAACCTTGACATCAAAATGTTTTTAAGTGGACCTTACACTCAAGAATTGCTGATAATTCATGCTATAGAGCAACAGCCATTTGGCTACGTTTTTACTTTGAAGTATAAAGCAAGCAGTACATAGCAGAGAATGGTTTCGATCCATCGACTTCTGGGTTATGGGCCCAGCAGGCATCCGCTGCGCCACTCTGCTCTGCAGCCAGACTTGTTGAGCCTAGAATTCAAAATCTTTGGAATCGGTACAAGTAACATATCCTTTAGACCACTGGGAATCGGTATTCAAACTCAAATGACTAGCATCAATAGTACTTATTTTCATCTTCAGTGTAAAACAACAGATTCTTGGTTATCTTTTAGTTGGGACATGAAGCAGACAGGTCTCCTTAATACAGGATTTGTCTGCTACACCATTGCACTGATCACAAGGGAAACCCTGAAGTCAGGGTTTGTCTGCTACACCATTGCACTGAGAACAAGCAAACCCTAAAATCAAAGTGCTTTGGAGAAGGCCTTACATTCCTTCACAGATTACCATTTACTTATGTTATAAGACAAAGGAGCACGCGCCAGATTCTTGGATATCTTTTAGTAGGGACATGAAGCAGACAGGTCTCCTAAATAATGGGTTTGTCTGCTACACCATCGCGCGACCACACGGAAACCCTGAAGGTAGGGCTTGTCTGCTACACCATTGCACTCCACGAGGAAACCTGAAGTCAAAATGGTTTTGAGTGGATCTTACACTCAAGAATTGCTGATTATTCATACTATAGAGCAACAGCCATTTGGCTACGTTTTTATTTTGAATGAGGTACAAAGCAAGCAGAACATAGCAGAGGATGGTTTCGATCCATCGACTTCTGGGCCCACACGCTTCCGCTGCGCCACTCTGCTCTGCAGTCCACACTTGTTAGCCTAGAATTCAAAATCTTTTTATTCGGCTGTAATTAACATATCCTTTAGACCACTGGGAATGGGTATTCAAACTCAAATGACTAGCATCAATAGTACTTATTTTCATCTTCAGTGTAAAACAACAGATTCTTGGTTATCTTTAGTTGGGACATGAAGCAGGCCGGTCTCCTAAATAATGGATTTGTCTGCTACACTATTGCACTGGCCACAAGGAATCCCTGAAGTCGAAATGGTTTTGAGTGGATCTTACACTCAAGAATTGCTGATTATTCATACTTTAGAGCAACAGCCACCTGGCTACGTTCTTTTTTGAAGTACAAAGCAAGCGTTCGTAGCAGAGGATGGTTTCGATCCATCGACTTCTGGGTTATGGGCCCAGCATCCTTCGCGCCACTCTGCTCTGCAGCCAGGATTGTTGAGCCTAGAATTCAAAATCCTTGGCTCGGTGTAAGTAACATCCTTTAGACTACTGGGAATCGGTATTCAAACTCAAATGACTAGCTTCAATAGTTCTAATACTCATCCTCGCTGTAAAACAATTGATTCTTGGTCATCTTTCAGTTGGGGCGCGAAGCAGGCAGGTCTCCTATATACAGGATTTGTCTGCTACACCATTGCACTGATCCGGAAGGAACCTGTGAAGTCAGGGTTTGTCTGCTACACCATTGCACTGAGAACAAGCAAACCCTAAAATCAAAATGCATTGGAGAAGGCCTTACATTCCTTCATAGATTACCATTTACTTATGTTATAACACAAATGTGCACTGGCCATATTCAGGTTTGAAGGACAATGCATGCTGTAAATAGCAGAGGATGGTTTGATCCATGGACTTCTGGGTTATGGGCCCGCAGGCTTTCGCGCCACTCTGCTCTGCAGCCAGACTTGTTGAGCCTGAATTCAGTTAAGACATATTTCATGGGTTCAAAATTCCTAGCATCAATAGTACTTATATTCACCAGTGTAAAACAACAGATTCTTGGTTATCTTTTAGTTGGGACATGAAGCAGGCCGGTCTCTAAATAATGGATTTGTCTGCAACATTGCACTGACCACAAGGAAACCCTGAAGTCAAAATGGTTTTGAGTGGACCTTACTTTCAAGAATTGCTTATTATTCATGCTATAGAGCAACAACCATTTGGCTACGTTTGTTTTATGAGGTACAAAGCAAGCAGAACATAGCAGAGGATGGTTTCGATCCATCGACTTCTGGGTTATAGGCCCGCCGTTCCTGCACCACTCTGCTCTGCAGCAGGACTGTTGAGCCTAGAATTCAAAAACCTTTGACTCGGTGTAAGTAACATATCCTTTAGACTACTGGGAATCGGTATTCAAACTCAAATGACTAGCTTCAATAGTACTAATACTCATCCTCGCTGTAAAACAATTGATTCTTGGTCATCTTTCAGTTGGGGCATGAAGCAGACAGGTCTCCTAAATACAGGATTTGTCTGCTACACCATTGCACTGATCCCAAGGAAAACCTGAAGTCAGGGTTTGTCTGCTACACCATTGCACTGAGAACAAGCAAACCCTGAAATCAAAATGCGTTGGAGAAGGCCTTACATTCCTTCACAGATTACCATTTACTTATGTTATAACACAAAGGTGCACTGGCCATGTTCAGGTTTGAAGGACAATGCAAGCAGTACATAGCAGAGGATTGTTTCGATCCATCGACTTCTGGGTTATGGGCCCAGCAGGCTTCCGCTGCGCCACTCTGCTCTGCAGTCAGACTTGTTGAGCCTAGAATTCAAAATCTTTTGATTCGGCTGTAAGTAACATATCCTTTAGACCACTGGGAATGGGTATTCAAACTCAAATTACTAGCATCAATAGAACTTATTTTCATCTTCAGTGTAAAACAACAGATTCTTGGTTATCTTTTAGTTGGGACATGAAGCAGGCCGGTCTCCTAAATAATGGATTTGTCTGCTACACCATTGCACTGATCACAAGGAAACCCTGAAGTCAGGGTTTGTCTGCTACACCATTGCACTGAGAACAAGCAAACCCTAAAATCAAAGTGCTTTTGGAGAAGGCCTTACATTCCTTCACAGATTACCATTTACTTATGTTATAACACAAAGGAGCACAAGCCAAATTCTTGAATATCTTTTAGTAGGGACATGAAGCAGACAGGTCTCCTAAATAATGGATTTGTCTGCTACACTGACCACAAGGAAACCCTGACATCGAAATGTTTTTGAGTGGACCTTACACTCAAGAATTGTTATTATTCATGCTATAGAGCAACAGCCATTTGGCTACATTTGTTTTATGAGGTACAAAGCAAGCAGTACATAGCAGAGGATGGTTTCGATCCATCCTTCTGGGTTATGGCCACGCTTCGGCGCCACTCTGCTCTGCGCCTTGTCCGCTTCCTCTCTAATTGCCTTGCCCCACAGACCCTAAGTAAAATGTTTTGGTGGATTACACTCAGGACATTTGGCTACGTTTTTTTTGAAGTACAAAGCAGAGTAGAGGGATGGTTTCGATCCATCGACTTCTGGGTTATGGGCCCAGTCCTTCCGCTCGCCACTCTGCTCTGCAGCCAGACTTGTTGAGCCTAGAATTCAAAATCTTTTGATTCGGCTGTAAGTAACATATCCTTTAGACCACTGGGAATCGGTATTCAAACTCAAATGACTAGCATCAATAGTACTTATTTTCATCTTCAGTGTAAAACAACAGATTCTTGGTTATCTTTTAGTTGGGACATGAAGCAGACAGGTCTCCTTAATACAGGATTTGTCTGCTACACCATTGCACTGATCACAAGGAAACCCTGAAGTCAGGGTTTGTCTGCTACACCATTGCACTGAGAACAAGCAAACCCTAAAATCAAAGTGCTTTGGAGAAGGCCTTACATTCCTTCACAGATTACCATTTACTTATGTTATAAGACAAAGGAGCACAAGCCAGATTCTTGGATATCTTTTAGTAGGGACATGAAGCAGACAGGTCTCCTAAATAATGGGTTTGTCTGCTACACCATCGCACTGACCACACGGAAACCCTGAAGGTAGGGCTTGTCTGCTACACCATTGCACTGACCACAAGGAAACCCTGAAGTCAAAATGGTTTTGAGTGGACCTTACATTCAAGAATTGCTTATTATTCATGCTATAGAGGAACAGCCATTTGGCTACGTTTGTTTTATGAGGTACAAAGCAAGCAGTACATAGCAGAGGATGGTTTCCGATCCATCGACTTCTGGGTTATGGGCCCAGCGCGCTTCCGCTGCGCCACTCTGCTCTGCAGCCAGACTTGTTGAGCCTAGAATTCAAAATCTTTGATTCGGCTGTAAGTAACATCCTTTAGAACACTGGGAATCGGGATTCAAACTCAAATGCCTAGCATCAATAGTAGTAATATTCATCTTGAGTGTAAAACAACAGATTCTTGGTTATCTTTTGGTGGGACATGAAGCAGACAGGTCTCCTAAATACAGGATTTGTCTGCTACACCATTGCACTGGTCACAAGGAAACCCTGAAGTCAGGGTTTGTCTGCTACACCATTGCACTGAGAACAAACAAACCCTAAAATCAAAGTCTTTAAATTTTTATTATTTTTTTTCAGGTCTCTAAATATGTTTGTCTGCTACACCTGACCACAAGGACTTGTCAAATGTTTTAAGTGGACCTTACACTCAAGAATTGCTTATAATCATCTATAGAGCAACAGCCATTTGGCTACGTTTTTATTTTGAAGTATAAAGCAAGCAGTACATAGCAGAGAATGGTTTCGATCCACCGACTTCTGGTTATGGGCCCAGCTTCCGCGCCACTCTGCTCTGCAGCCAGGACTGTTGAGCCTAGAATTCAAAATCCTTGGACCGGCTGTAAGTAACATATCCTTTAGACTACTGGGAATCGGTATTCAAACTCAAATGCTAGCTTCAATAGTACTAATACTCATCCTCGCTGTAAAACAATTGATTCTTGGTCATCTTTCAGTTGGGGCATGAATCGGGCAGGTCTCCTATATACAGGATTTGTCTGCTACACCATTGCACTGATCCCAAGGAAACCCTGAAGTCAGGGTTTGTCTGCTACACCATTGCACTGAGAACAAGCAAACCCTAAAATCAAAATGCGTTGGAGAAGGCCTTACATTCCTTCAAAGATTACCATTTACTTATGTTATAACACAAAGGTGCACTGGCCATATTCAGGTTTGAAGGACAATGCATGCTGTAAATAGCAGAGGATGGTTTCGATCCATCGACTTCTGGGTTATGGGCCCAGCAGGCTTCCGCTGCGCCACTCTGCTCTGCAGCCAGACTTGTTGAGCCTGGAATTCAAAATCTTTGGATTCGGCTGTAAGGAACATATCCTTTAGACCACTGGGAATCAGGATTCAAACTAAAAATTCCTAGCATCAATAGTACCTATATTCATCTTCAGTGTAAAACAACAGATTCTTGGTTATCTTTTAGTTGGGACATGAAGCAGGCCGGTCTCCTAAGTAATGGATTTGTCTGCTACACCATTGCACTGACCACAAGGAAACCCTGAAGTCAAAATGGTTTTGAGTGGACCTTACACTCAAGAATTGCTTATTATGCATGCTATAGAGCAACAGCCATTTGGCTACGTTTGTTTTATGAGGTACAAAGCAAGCAGAACATAGCAGAGGATGGTTTCGATCCATCAACTTCTGGGATATGGGCCCCGGCCCGCTCCGTACGCACCACCTCTGCTCTGCAGCCAGACTTGTTGAGCCTAGAATTCAAAATCTTTTGATTCGGCTGTAAGTAACATATCCTTTAGACCACTGGGAATCGGTATTCAAACTCAAATGACTAGCATCAATAGTACTTATTTTCATCTTCAGTGTAAAACAACAGATTCTTGGTTATCTTTTAGTTGGGACATGAAGCAGGCCAGTCTCCTAAATAATGGATTTGTCTGCTACACCATTGTACTGATCCCAAGGAAACCCTGAAGTCAGGGTTTGTCTGCTACACCATTGCACTGAGAACAAGCAAACCCTAAGATCAAAATGCTTTGGAGAAGGCCTTACATTCCTTCAGAGATTACATTTTACTTATGTCATAATACAAAGGTGCACTGGCCATGTTCAGGTTTGAAGGACAATGCAGGCTGTAAATAGCAGAGGATGGTTTCGATCCATCGACTTCTGGGTTATGGGCCCAGCACGCTTCCGCTGCGCCACTCTGCTCTGCAGCCAGGATTGTTGAGCCTAGAATTCAAAACCTTTTGATTCGGCTGTAAGTAACATATCCTTTAGACCACTGGGAATCGGGATTCAAACTCAAATGACTAGCATCAATAGTACTTATTTTCATCTTCAGTGTAAAACAACAGATTCTTGGTTATCTTTTAGTTGGGACATGAAGCAGGCCGGTCTCCTAAATAATGGATTTGTCTGCTACACCATTGCACTGACCACAAGGAAACCCTGAAGTCAAAATGGTTTTGAGTGGACCTTACACTCAAAAATTGCTTATTATTCATGCTATAGAGCAACAGCCATTTGGCGCGTTTGTTTTTATGAGGTACAAAGCAAGCAGTTCATAGCAGAGGATGGTTTCGATCCATCGACTTCTGGGTTATGGGCCCGCACGCCCGCGCCACTCTGCTCTGCAGCCAGGCTTGTTGAGCCTAGAATTCAAAATCTTTTGATTCGGCTGTAAGTAACATATCCTTTAGACCACTGGGAATCGGTATTCAAACTCAAATGACTAGCATCAATAGTACTTATTTTCATCTTCAGTGTAAAACAACAGATTCTTGGTTATCTTTTAGTTGGGACATGAAGCAGACAGGTCTCCTTAATACAGGATTTGTCTGCTACACCATTGCACTGATCACAAGGAAACCCTGAAGTCAGGGTTTGTCTGCTACACCATTGCACTGAGAACAAGCAAACCCTAAAATCAAAGTGCTTTGGAGAAGGCCTTACATTCCTTCACAGATTACCATTTACTTATGTTATAAGACAAAGGAGCACAAGCCAGATTCTTGGATATCTTTTAGTAGGGACATGAAGCAGACAGGTCTCCTAAATAATGGGTTTGTCTGCTACACCATCGCACTGACCACACGGAAACCCTGAAGGTAGGGCTTGTCTGCTACACCATTGCACTGACCACAAGGAAACCCTGAAGTCAAAATGGTTTTGAGTGGACCTTACTTTCAAGAATTGCTTATTATTCATGCTATAGAGGAACAGCCATTTGGCTACGTTTGTTTCATGAGGTACAAAGCAAGCAGTACATAGCAGAGGATGGTTTCGATCCATCGACTTCTGGGTTATGGGCCCAGCACGCTTCCGCTGCGCCACTCTGCTCTGCAGCCAGACTTGTTGAGCCTAGAATTCAAAATCTTTTGATTCGGCTGTAAGTAACATCCTTTAGAAAACTGGGAATCGGGATTCAAACTCAAATGCCTAGCATCAATAGTAGTAATATTCATCTTGAGTGTAAAACAACAGATTCTTGGTTATCTTTTAGTTGGGACATGAAGCAGACAGGTCTCCTAAATACAGGATTTGTCTGCTACACCATTGCACTGATCACAAGGAAACCCTGAAGTCAGGGTTTGTCTGCTACACCATTGCACTGAGAACAAACAAACCCTAAAATCAAAGTGCTTTGGAGAAGGCCTTACATTCCTTCACAGATTACCATTTACTTATGTTAAACACTACAGGTCTCCTAAATAATGGATTTGTCTGCTACACTGACCACAAGGAAACCTTGACATCAAAATGTTTTTAAGTGGACCTTACACTCAAGAATTGTTGATAATTCATGCTATAGAGCAACAGCCATTTGGCTAAGTTTTTACTTTGAAGTATAAAGCAAGCAGTACATAGCTTGGTTTCGATCCATAGGATGGTTTCGATCCATCGACTTCTGGGTTATGGGCCCAGCAGCCTTCGCTGCCCTTTTGAAGTTTTAAAAAAAATTAATAATTTGTCACGTATTCGGAATCAGAGGATGGTTTCGATCCATCGACTTCTGGGTTATGGGCCCAGCACACTTCCGCTGCGCCACTCTGCTCTGCCGGCAGACTTGTTGAGCCTAGAATTGAAAATCTTTTGATTCGGCTGTAAGTAACATCCTTTAGAAAACTGGGAATCGGGAGTCAAACTCAAATGCCTAGCATCAATAGTACTAATATTCATCATTAATGTAAAACAACAGATTCTTGGTTATCTTTTAGTTGGGACATGAAGCAGACAGGTCTTCTAAATACAGGATTTGTTTGCTACACCATTGCACTGAGAACAAGCAAACCCTAAAATCAAAATGCTTTGTTGAAGGCCTTAAACAAATCTAAATGCTTTGGAGTAAGCCTTACATTCATTCACAGATTACCATTTACTTATGTTATAACACAAAGGAGCACTGGCCATGTTTGGGTTTGAAGGACAATGCAGGGTGTAAATAGCAGAGGATGGTTTTGATACATTGATTTCCGGGTTCTGGGCCCAGCACGCTTCCACATTGCCACTCTGCTTTGCTTCCACACGTGTTGGGCCAAGAATTCACAATCCATGGATTCGGCTGTAAGTACCATATCCACTAGACCACAGGGAATCTGGATTCAGACTCAAGTGACTAGCATCAAAAGTACTAATACTCATCTTCAGAGTAAAACAATAGATCCTTGGTTATCTTTCAGTTGGGGCATGAAGCAGAAAGGTCTCCTAAATACAGTATTTGTCTGCTACACCATTGCACTGAGAACACGCAAACCCTAAAAACAAAATGCTTTGATGAAAGCCTTACATTCATATACTTGATGTTCTTGATGCTAAATCATCAGAAGGTGGTGTTATAAAGCTCTGGATCCACTGCCACCTTGACCAAGATTAAAATCTACTGAAGATTAATGAATGAAGTGGTTAAATGCATTTGCTTGTTATTCGTCCTATCCTCATTTCCTTTTCCTGCCTTCCTTCCTTGCTTCCTATTCAAGAAATGAGATGTGGTCCTTCTTCAAATTGATGCTTACTTGTTTCGTTGCCCCTCTGTCATCCAGCCTGTGACCCAGAAATCGTTCAAAGTCAGCCATGTTGAAGGACATACAAATTCTGTAATTGCACCGCAAGGAATGAGGAGTAAGGAAGCTTCCAGAGAAGCTAGGAGCGAGGATACACAGGTGCATCCTATGCGAAAGTGTTTGTCAAAAAACCTGACGAACGTAAAAATTCCCCTCCTGCTTTACATCTGCCACAGTCTCAAACAAAAGTCCATTCATGATGTGATGGAATTTGGTGAGAAATGTAATTAAATAATGTTTACAACGAGTATTGTAATTAATTGATCCTTGCATATTTTGATATGCAAAGTTGCACAAAAGATGTCAAAATATGTATTGTTCATTAATACATTGTGGAATAATGTAGACATTTCATATATCAGTGCATCTTGCTTTATTAAGAATGTTGTTATGAACCAAGCTCAAACAACGTAACGGCAGATCCCTGAAGTGCAGTGAGGTCATCCAGCTGAGCACAGTCATCATTAACCAAAGTCGCATTGAAGTGATGCTTGAGAGAGCAAGGATATTCCATTGGACTTGCTGTGATTCCTTTCTCCTCGCATCTCTTCCTTGCATCTTAAGGGGATAAAGCTAAGAAGCGAGGAAAAGAAATGAGGATGCACAAATAAGAAATGAGGAGCACCCAAACTCCACATCTCTCTCCCCCATAGCTCTTCTCCCCTGACTTTTATCAGCACAGTGTCCCGATATGTAGAGACAGAAACTATGTGACCAAGAGATAGTAAGAAGTAAGGACTTTCCAAGCATTGGCATTTTGTCTGGTAAAATAAATACCAAAATCTGCAGGTTTTTTTTTTTTTTTTACACTGAAGGTTGTGTACACTGACAGGGTACTGTCACTATACTGTCACAGTAATGCAATGACATTTATGTAGGCTATATCGGTTCACCACCTTCTTGTGAACAGTTTCAATTTACTATATGTATGAGATATATATATATATATATATATATATATATATATATATATATATATATATATATATATATATATATATATATATATGAGAGACACAAAAATCAGTTACACATTGTACATTTTCTCTGAGCTCTAAATTAGATGGGAGTTACTGAGCTACAAAGTCAATCAATAAAAATCTGATATTTGATTGTGGTATGTGAAAGTGCACTTGACACCTGTTGGAATAAGCCTGTATAAGCCTTTTATTACAGCTGTACAACAATTACTGACACTAAGTCAATACTTTGTGCTACCTCCCTTTACCAAGATAACAGCTCTGAGTCTTCTCCTATAATGCCTGATGAGGTTGGAGAATACATGGCAAGAGATCTGAGATCATTCCTCCGTACAGAATCTCTCCAGATCCTTCAAATATCAAGGTACATGCTGCTGGACTCTCTTCAGTTCACCCCACAGGTTCTTTATGGGTTTCAAGGCAGGTGACTGGGATGGCCATGACAATACCTTGATTGAGTGGTCAGTAAACCGTTTTTGTGTGATTTTGGGTATGTTTTGGATCATTGTATTGTGGGAAAATCCTCATATGGGTCATTTTAAGCTTTCTGGCAGAGGCAGTCAGGTTTTTATTTAATATCTATTTATATTTAATAGAATCCATGATGCCATGTATCCTAATAACATGTCCATGTCCTCGGGCAGAAAAACAGCCCCAAAATATTAAAGAGCCACCACCATATTTAACCGTGGACATGAGGTACTTTTCCATATGGCTACCTCTCTGTGTGCCAAAACCACCTCTGGTGTTTATTAACAAAAAGCTCTATTTTAGTTTCATCTGACCCTAGAACCTGATCCCATTTGAAGTTCCAGTAGTGTCTGGCAAACTGAAGAAGCTTGAGTTTGTTTTTGGATGAGAGTAGAGGCTTTTTTCTTGAAACCCTTCCTTGGTCTTACCCATGGTTATGAATGACTAAGGGAATTTGGCCTGTGTTACCTCATATCTATACCCCTGTGAAACATGAAGTCATGATTGAGCAATTTCCTGTTCCTAGTCACCCAGCTGTACTTAAAATAAATAAATAAACAAACACACAACAAGTAAAATATCAATATCAAAATATCAATACTTTACATATATTTCTCTCATATGAATTCATAGGGGTGCCAATAATGGTTGCACACCTATATTTAACAAAAGGAACTGTATGTGCTTGTTTAACATCCCATTCCAAAGTTATTCCCATTTTGCGGTTATATTAATCTACACTCTTTCGTGGCTAGAACGTGAAAATGAAAAGGGAAAATTGTGCAAATGTCATTCAAGGACAGTAAACAGACTAACCCTTGTCGGAACATTCATACAATATATTATATCTTTTATTTAGATTCTGAAAATTAACTTGTATACATATAATCATACATAGAAGCTCCAACTCAAAATAAAAATATGTGTAAAATGCATTTAAAATATGAAGAAAATGGAAGTCAGCAGTTAAGGAAAAAAAAAGGAACTAAACAAGGATAAATAGTGTTGACGCAGCTTGTAAACTGGTCATTGCCTTGATTACTGTGTCACATCCTCAGAAGTCCTCTCTCTTTTCAGCTTCTGAAGCCACCAAAGAACTTGGTGAACAAGGAGAACTCATCGTGTATGTCAGAGAAAGGCCCGGGACAACCTGAGAACATACATCAGGCTTAAAACCTGAGCAATTATAATAGCATATGAAATGATTTAGACGGTTCATAGCTTGAATACATTACTCATCTTTAAATAGAAAATACTAAAGTGCTGATTTTATTACAAATAGTGACTATTAAATAGCTATATTATTAAATATTATTTCACATTATTCTTGCCTCATGCAGCTACAAATATTTTTACAGCCTTTTTACTATTACTCCTTATTGAATGCCCTGCAGCTCAGATATTTTATTGTTCCCGTTTGATTGATTTGGATTGGTCAAATGGTTCAGAGCATAAGGGTGAGTGAGCTGACCTGGTGTGGGAGAAGCGGGCCCATTTCGTGGACCTCCTTGACCATCAGGCCCTCCTGAGCGGATCACTGTAGTCTCTTCATTACCCTGGCCATCCCTGACTGTACGTCTCTCTTCTACCGTCTGTAAATATATGTATATTTATTTTAGATTTAATGGGGTGGGACGTTCTATTAGTTAGTTCCTGTTATCATGTATGTCATTAACATTCCATTAATATTACAAACATCAAATCCACGCTTAAACTTTGTTGAAGTCTTGAGGTGCTGTTACTATAAAAAAAATAATGTACTGGAACAAGTGCATTAATATAAACCTGTCATTCATGCTACAGCCACAACAACTGTCCAAGCCATGCGATTATACAGAAATAATGCACATTTTCTGACCAATCAGAATCGAAAACCACGCTGTGGTGGCTGGATTCACATTTCTCAGAGGAAGGACGGTAATTATTGAAGAGAGCTAGCTAGTGGGAGGAAAAAGGCAAATGGACAACTTGGGAGAAAAACTTTCAGGATCACTCACCCCATCAGGTTTAACCACTTTGGTAACTGTTACAGCCTGAAAGAAGGATCGTGTTTTTGGCTGTGAGGGAGCCTGCTTTAAGATTTGGTCCAGTCCCACTGATGATACCTGAGAATCTAGATCTGGGGAAAAAAATGAAATCAGGGGAGAAAAAAAACCTAAGCAGAAAAAAAAGGAAAGAGAGGCTCCATTCCAAATACATTTCGCATGTTTTCATTTGTTACCCTTTAATCCTCGTTTAGGTCAAAGTCCACACAGAGGAGAAGCTTTAAGACAGGGTATAGCAAGAAACAAACCCACATCATTTGTAAGCTTCATGTGAGGCATCCATGGTGCTGTTTTGCAATCACTGAACAAGTGCATACTCCAAGTACACTACACACAAACAAAAATCTTCAACGCAGCATCAACTTTATCGCTTCAAAGGTTCCAACAGAGACCTTTATGCACATGCTGCATAAGTCATAACTCATAATGAATAAAAAGAATGCACATGACACTCACAACTTGTACAGGGACAATAGAAAGAACATTTAGTCCCGTAACAATGCATCACTACATACAAAATTGTTTATTTGCATTAAAAAGTAGCTGAACTGCTAGAGTTCAGACTAACGATACTTATTCGGATTATTTTGCGCTCGGACGAGGGTGTCGCCAAGGGTGTCCTTTATCCCCACTGCTTTTTGCTGTTGCCATCGAGCCGCTCTCTATTGCACTAAAATCTTCCTCCTTGTTTAAAGGAATAGTTTGATATGGTGTAGAATACAAATTGTCGCTATATGCTGATGATTTGTTATTGTATGTTAGAAATTTGTATTCTGATGGTGTGTTTGATAGCTTTGCCAATTTGGCATCCACTTATGATCTCCCCTTGACACATTTCTTTCGGTACTTTCAAATACGGAATTTCGTTTCTAGATGTTTTCCTGATTTCCCTTCTGCTCCTTCAGAACAGGCTTGGGAAGAGCTGTTTTCAAATAACCCGCATCAGAGAGGAATGATT